ACTATTCTACTAAAATATTACTTAAACTTAAAATTAATAAATTTCAAAACTAAAAAAATTAAAACTAAATACTTGAAGCAACACCTGAATCTGAAAACTAAAAAACTAAAAACTAATATTAAAAACTTAAAAACAAATATATTTAAAACTATTTTAAAAAAATATATTACAAAATATAAAACTTCTAATATTTAAAAGAGCATTTCTATTTGTATATGGTGTGTATGTACATTGTTTATATAGAGAGCCAATCAGATTCACGATCAGGTGTAATGTAAATTATTGCTTTCTCCAAAATATTACTGATTTCTCAAAATTTCACTTATGAAACCACCTTTTGAATTCTAACAAAAAAAAATTCTTGCAAAATTTTGATATAGGCTATAACCTGACAAATTCTAAATGCACCTTATAAAAGTTGTTTGATTGGCATGTTACATAGATTTATAAATTAATAATCGTGTTTAAACACACTATGTACAAATAGTAATTTTCTATTTAAAAATCTAAAAATTAGAAAAATTAAACCTGAGCCCCTGGAGCAATGCCTGGGGCTGATTGCTAAAAAATTAAAAAATTAATATTAATAAAACCTAAAACTAAATAAATTAAAATTTAAACAATAATAAATTAAATAACCAAAGTTAACAAATATTTTAAAAACTAAAAAAAAAATTAAAACTAAGCCTCCAGAGCAACGCCCAGATCTGAGAGCTAAAAACTAAAAACTATGATTAAAAAATATAAAAACTAAATTGTATTTTTAAAATTTATATAATTGACTTTAAATATTAATAAATAAACAACCAAAATTAACAAATACTTAAAAACTAAAAAAGTTAAAACTGAGCCTCTGGAACAATGCTAGAGTCTAAAAACTAAAAAATTAAAAAACTAATATTAATAAAAAAACTAAATAAATATAAAATTTAAACAATAATAAATTAAACAACCAAAGTTAACAAATACTTTAAAAATTAAAAAAATTGAAACCAAGCCCCCAGAGCAACATCTGAGTCTGAGAGCAAAAAACTAAAAAACTAATATTAAAAAAACTTAAAGACTAAATTATATTTCTAAAAATTATATATATTAATTTATTTAATTTAAATACTAATAAAAAAACAACCAAAATTAACAAATATTTAAAAACTAAAAAAGTTAAACCAAGCCCAAAGCAATGCCTCAACCTGAGAGCTAAAAATTAATAAATAATATTAAAAATCAAAAACAATTATATAGTAGACTATTTTTTAAAACATATATTACAAAATAAAAATCATTTAATATTTAAAAACTTAAAAACTTGAAAAAATTAAAACTGAGATTCTGAAGCAATACCTAGGTCTAAGAGCTAAATAATTAATAAATAATAATAAAAATTAAAAACAATTATATATTAGATTATTTTTTAAAACATATATTACAAAATAAAAAAATGTTTAATATTTAAAAAATTTAAGAATTTAAAAAAATTAAAACCGAGCTCCCGGAGTGATGCCCGGGTCTGAGAGTTAATAAATTAATAAACTATTATTCAAAACTTAAAAACAAATATATAATATTATATATTAAAACATATATTACAAAATCTAAAAACTTTTAATATTTAAAATTAAAACCTAAAAAAATTAAAATTATGTAATTAGAGCAATACCCAGATCTGAATCTAAAAATTTAAAGAACTAATATTAAAAAAACTTAAAAACTAAATTATATTTTTAAAAATTATATAATTTAAATAATAAAAATTAACAAATATTTAAAAACTAAAAAAAAATTGAAACCGAGCTCCCGGAGCAATGCCTAGGTCTGAAAGCTAGTATAATACTAAGTGATATGTAGTATCAGTTAGTGATTTTCAATCTGTATAATGTATGCTAACTAATATGAGGTTTGAAAATACCATGAAATAATAAACTTGGATCTAGAGATGAGAAAGATCAGATATAAATCTTGTTTCTTGATTTTGGTAGAACACTATGATTGCATAATGTCGCATGCTACATTATACTGCAATATGTATTCGCACATCTCTAAATATTATGATATTTTTAAGCAAAGTGAGTTACAAAATTACCCCAAATGTGAAGAGATAGGTAAAGGCATCCAAAACAAAATTTTTCAACTAAAATGAATAAAATATTATAATCTCTGTTAGTTTTTGCTCTAAAGTTAGCTGGGTTGCTTTATTTTTAATCAATAGACTGTTTTATTGACAATTGGGACAAAATTGTATTTGGGATATGATAAACAATAGAAAAATATATAAAAAAAAAAAAAAACACATCACAAAGTAGATAAACAAGTTAATGTTAAATTGAAATTATATGATGCAATACAATCTAGACTAGAAAAATTCAAATTACAATGATAAAAGACTTCTAGAGAAATATCAAGTAATGTTGAAACTGCTATCACTGCATTTTTCAGTTCATCACTATATAGAAAGGCTGCAGATGCTGCTTTAACAGTTGTAAGTAGTTGACATTTTGGGCTAGATGTGTTGATAAATTTGTAATAACCAAAGGTGGTACCCGCATTCATATCAGTAGAGATGGGGTTCCTTTTAAATAAAGACAAATGTTGAAAAATATACCATCTTAAAATGAGTAAGTAAAAAGAAAACATGCAAGCATAAGAATTTTCAGTGATACAAACTTGCAAAAAATGTTGCTATAGGCTTTAAGACACCATACATCAGTGCTGGCATTCCTCTAATTATCAATATTTTTTTCTTTTGTCTATCGGTTCTCCAAACAACTTGTAATAAGAGCATAAGGTAAGAATTGGCAGCGTCAAAAGTGATAATGGTAGTGTCGATATTTGGATCTGTATATGATCTAATATCTTGAGTGTATGGGTCACTGAACGATCTATTATGGCAAATTTATGGATAAGTATATTATGTTTTATAACAAGGAAGTTAGAAATATAGAAATTGAAAACTTTTCACTTGCACAACATTTCGATCGTCCACAACAGGCCAGAGCTGATAATCTGATTTAGACTACTATCAATCTCATTCAGACAATATTTAAATATTGCATAGTATGAATGATCGATTTTTCTGTGTTTAATTTGTGATATAAGTTTATCACCAGATATTGTTAAATCGACACTTCTTTTAGTTATGATTCTACTAATTTTTCTAATTGCTTTTCCATATATTTTCCCTTTTATTTTTTTATTTTTTGCAAATCATATATCTCTTCTTTTATTCCTTGTGAATCATGTAGTACCCTTCTTTTATTTCTTACGAATCATCTAGTATCCTTTCTATCGTCCCTTCTATTGTCTCTTTTTCTTTTGCTTCTTTGATTGCACCAGAGATTTTTATTTTTTTACTGACTTCAATTGTTCCACTAACTTTGACATCGATTGTAGCATTTATTGATTTGTTACTGCTACTACCTCCTTCACTCTATATAAATCCACAAATTGCATGTAAAACTATAGTTGCTTAAAAAAAAAGTGATATTAATAGAAAATTAATACAATTATACTAAACCTGATCAATTATCAACTTAATAGCTTTTTTAGCAGCATCAAGGTTATTTACAATAATCAATCCTTTATTTCCAGTGCTGGTACTAGGAGCATAACCTATTCTGGGTCCAAGCTTCATCCATACAAAATTATTTTAATAGTAAAAAATATCTTAAGAAAAAAAGATCAGAAATGAAGTTACTAACCTGAAATATTGTACAGTCAGACCTCTGTATAATCACAAGTTGGTCATGCTCTAATGTGGTGATTGAGGCATGACTATAAACAAATATTAGATAAATATCATATGATCTTTAGCCAATCAATGATTAATTGATAATTCATTAGTCATGATCGTCCTACATCTAAAAGTTTTTTTTGTACTAAGTTAAGTACCTTTGAGTCTCTAAGAAAGTTGTGAGCTCATTAAGATGAATCTAATGGTGGTTAAATTATCAAAATCGACCTAGTGGGTGCTGAGTTATTTTCAAAAACTTCTCACCAACTATATTAATTCTTTAAAGAATTTTCTATAGTTAGCAAAATGTTTTTCGAAGATATCTCAGCATCCACTAGTAGGGTTGGAGGCACAGAAAAATTTTTGAGCATGCCCAAAAGGGTATGCCTTGGCTGAGGTATGCCTCTCATATAGTGCCTAGGGCATACCTCTATATATAAATTATGTGATACACATGATATATGTAAATTAATGAATACTACAAAATATATTTATTTTATTAAAAAAAATACTACTAATATATGTTAATTTAAAAATTTATTAATTTCCACAAGAATATTATCAATAAATTGATTTTTTTCTTTTAATAAATTAATAAATGATCAGGTATATATTTCTAATATATGTACCAGAAGTACAGTTAAACCTCTCTAAATGCACCCTCTCTAAGTGCACACCCTTTCTAAATACATGTGATAGCTTGGTCTTGAGCTTGGAACTTAGAGCTAAATGCACACCTCCAAATTCTGTATGAGCAAGAGATTTTGAACCCGAGACTTAATACGTGCATCTCTCAAAATGCATGTATATGATTATTATCTAATTATATTTAAGAAATTTTATAATAATACACAAGCCAATTCTTATTGGATAGAATGTTTATAATTTAATTGGCTAATTATTACATGACTCTTGTCTGCTTTTTTTTACATATAATCCCTAAATGAAACTCTCTCTAAATGCATGTTTATATTTGGTCTCCAGAGCATGCACTTAGGGAGGTTTGACTGTATATGGTTTACAAACAAGTTGCTATGTTTGAAATCTTAAATTCTATTAGACAGCATGATCATTGTACGTGTATTCTTTTTTTATTATTGCTCGATCGGATCTTTATTACAAAGGAAAAACATATAGGATTTGGGATTACTACCACATAGTACTTCAAAAAGGATCATTACATTATGTTTTTTTCTGTTCTGTCTGCTAGTGACCATTATCCTATCAGACCACATATACTAAATAATTTGATGGGTTGGGTGGGGCAAGATGAAAAAACCCAGACAAATATTTAACCAGCTAAAATCATGCTATTTTGCCTGAAAAACCCATTCTCCTAAATTAAAATGTTAATCAGTGATCATTGCACAATCTATTAAGTAGCTTTATGTAGATATTTATTAAGGTCCTTGAATGCCTATTTGCATCAATAGCTTAAGCATATGATGCAAAGAGGCATTCAAGGACCTTAATAAATATCTACATAAAGCTACTTAAT